GGAGACTCTTCCTGTGCCATGGTCGAAGAGCCGAACAACCGATACCCGACCAAGCATCATGTGGCGGAGCTGCTTCAGGCCGAACAGCTGAAGGGGGTCCGCAACATTTACCACGGCATGGATTGGGGTAAGGGGCTTGAGGCTATCTACAGCACCATGGAGGCCAAAGTGCGATTCATCGCCGAGGACAACTCTCAGAAGGGCATCAAACAGCTCCCCATTTCGGTTTACGTGTTGTGGGGAGGAAACGATGTCTTCGGCAACTATGGGTTCGTGGGGTGCAGATGGATCCATGAGAAAAGGTTCAACCGAACGGAGGCGGGCCGGAAGGCCGCGTCAGAGTGGCCGAGGGTTCAGAAGACTCGCGTGTACGAGCAGCTCGACTTCTTCAAGGAGGCGGTTGGGCTCGGACGCATTCGAGACATTACCTTCATCAGCAACCCGGACGCCGAGGACTATGCCCTCACGTCCGATTACAACGAGGCTATGAACGGCTGCCTTCGACACCTGGCCAACGGGGACATCGACGATGGGACCCGCATCAAGGCGATCGACTCGATCGACCCATCGGTTATGACATTGCTAGCGCACAGGTACGATGACGTGCACATGACATACAGCAATGCCAACCGGAAGGTTGTGTCGAAATTCCTTCATGCGGCTATCAACACGCAGCTGTTGGCCCAGCGGATCAGATACGCTCTCCCAGCCATTGGGAGGGTTGAGCCCTACGTGGCAGGTGAACCGGTCGACCCGGTGCTCTTTGGCTGGCCCACATGCTTGAAGCTGGCCAAAGCGCTCCACGAGTACGCGGCGATGGAGGAGAAGCCCGACTGGTCCCACGACCAGGAGGGCGACGAAATCGACGCCGATGTGGCCGCATGGATGAAGGTGGCGGAGGATGAGTCCTATAACGCCATAACCATCGACATGCGGGGGGCCAAGGTCGACGAATCCGACATCGTGCTTGAAGCCGTCGACAAAGGTGAGGAAAACTCCGACGACGAGCTTGACCGAGTGGAGATCGCGATGTCCCACTACATCGACAGTACGGCGGAGAAACACGGCTTGTCCAAGGTCCCCGACGATGAGGACAAGGACAAGTGGCTCTTGCTGGGCGACGACACCCATGACTTTGGATGGGATGCGACGAATCTGCCCCCAGGAGTGCACCGTGCTGCGCCGGAAGGCCAGTCGATTATCATCGCGGAAGGAGACTTGTTCGATCAGGAAACGGTGGTATCATTGGAAATGGTGTCAGAAGCTGATGATTCCGAGGCGGCAGGGATGAGTTCCATGATCACCGCGGAGTCGGTCGCTTTTGAGTCCGTGACGGAGGGCGCCAGCACATCCAAGCAACCGCCAACACCGCCGCCGTCAAGGCGCGGATCTGCTGCCAAGGACGCTGTGGGGGAACCCCAGTCGACTGGTTTCATTGAGATTGGAGACGAGTCGGACCCCACGGCTGCAGGCTCGACCGACAAGCCCCAAGTGAAGGCGATGCCGAGGATTGCGAAGGCCAAGGCGCCGCCAGGCAACGCCGAGGGGGAACCCCGGTCGAAAAAGCAGAAGGACCCTAAGCAAGAGAAGATCTTCTGGGAAGACTGGGCAAAGACCCGGAAGATCAATACCAACGTCCCGGCCGAGGAGCAGAGCGAGTGGCTCGAGGTCGAGGACATGGGGCACGTCCCGAAGGTCAACATGGACCGCGACTACCGACTGGTCGCAATTTCGAAGAAAATGTCCTATTTCCTCCGGGGAGGGGCATTCAAGGACGGCAAGCCCCACCCGCCGTTTCGCGGAATTGACCTGTCGGTGGAATTCGATGCGCTGGTTAGGCATCTGAATGACCGGATTGCCAATGTCATGCCTTGGGAGGTGATGATCTGCATCCGGAACAATAACACCCGCAGATTCCGCGTGATGGTTGGGCCCCCTCCATTGGGGGAAGCATCCTGGAAAGGATTGCCGTATCAGGCTTTGCGAGTGAGGGCCGTGCAAGGACACCACAACGAGCTCACAAGGAAATACACTGAGCAGGCGATCCTGACAAATTTGTATTCCTTCGACGAGGAGTTCACCGCGGCGAAATACTTGGACGGTCACTACCCGAGGGCTGTGCGGCATCCGGAACTTACTGACCTGTGGCGCCGAGGCTTTCCGGCTGTCCTTTACCACACCTGCGACCTCAGGTCGGCCGAGAGTATCCTCAAGTTCGGCCTGGTTCCGGGGGGCTATCCGAAGTCGACAGGCAGAGCCCACGTCTACTTCAACCCAACGCCACCCTGGGAGGCGCAGATGAGGAAGCTGGCAGGCACGCGAGCCGGAAGGCCCGTCACGATTGCTTTTGATACTGAGCTCATGATGCAGGACGGCATTCGACTCTTCACGAGCGATGAGGCGTTTATGTCTGCAGATTGGGTTGGAAATGCCTATATTATTTACGCTTTCCATACCCGCAAGAATGAGTTCCTCTACTTCAATCGTGCGTACCCTGAGCTTCGCAAAAGGTATCGCGAGGCGCTGACAACCGAGCTTGCGCCTGGGCCTCAGGACGTCAATCCAAACTTCTTCAGAAGTGAAAACACCCTGACCGCAGAGAAGGCCTGGAGGCATTGGAGGACCGTCGTTGAGGGGACGAAGAACGGCAAATTGCTTCCGGGTGCCGTGACCGAGATTGAGACGGTCGATGAGCTCGCTCCCCGGAAGGGGAAGTCGAATGAGAGACCTGCAGGCCCGACATATCAGGTTGCGCCTGCAACCCTTCGGCGGGTGCCCGAGCTCTCCAGGGGAGAGAAAGGGCATGGTCGCGGCTGGAACAACCTCCGGAACCGCTACCAGAGTGAGCCACGTTGGGAGGACCTCCTCTTCACGACCATGATGAAGGTACCGGTCGTGAAATGCTGGAACAGGAGGTGCAACAACCAACAGATCGACGGCTACCTGTTGTGTCAGGAGTGTCGGTCAGACATGGTGTCTTGGACGGACGCACGCATCGCCACTGAGGTGGTGCGCCTCGAGCACACAGCATCCCTCCAGGGCATGGTTTTCTACCTGGAGGATTTGCAAGGTGGCGGAGGGAAGTGGATCCGTTCCAAGCATCACTTCAAGGAAGGTGAAAAGCGGGGAGGAATCTCCGTCGAAGCGTCGCTCAGGAAGACGGCCAAAACGCACCTAACCAAGGCGTTGGCGATGGGGTGCGAGAAGGTATCTGACCGGCTCTCGGTCGATCCATTCTACGCATACAACTGCGCCACGCAAGGGCTAACCCCAGAGAGCCTTGACTTCCTTGGCCGGATTGCCCGAGCGGTTGTTGCTGACCCAGGCCGTACCAGGGAGGAACGCGAGCGAGGCGGATCCCAGAACACCGGAACGAAGTTGGTGTTCATCCCCAGCCTCAACAAACGCGATCCCCATGAGTTGAACGTTTCCACGGAGGCTTTCATTGCACACCATGCGAGGTTTTACAGCATCATGCAGTTTGCGGTCATGTGTGCCTATCGTTTCATTCCGGGCAACCAGGTGCCGATTATCATCGGGCACAGCGGATCATACGTCCCGGAAGGGAACGTCGAAAGGATTTTGGAGGTCATGACCAGTTTCATTCGTGCCTCCTGGATCAAGTTCGACTCCCAGGGCACCATCTGCACCGGTGAACTCGAAATCCCGCAGTTTTCCTCCGGCCGGACGCGGACCTATCCTGTTGAGGCGAGGAACACCCAGTGGAGGGCGATCACCCGGTCCATCCGCCCCGAGCCCTACACCAAGGGAAAGGGCAAGGGCAAAGGCAAGAACACGGGGCGCCAGGACTGGAGCTCTTGGTACGGGTGGTCCTCTGGATGGCATCAATGGCGTCAGGGCCCGTGGGGATGGTGAGCACCCGCGTCAATTACAAAAGTTTGCTTATGTTGCGGTAACCATTTCAATTTCATTGGTGATGTCATGTTCAAAACTATTATTTTTCATCCATTTATGCCGCAACATTAGCAGTGCCAAGTTTGCACGCCCGGCGGAAGCTGCGGCCGTAGGTCAATCCACGGCCGCCACCACCGGATGTCATTTCAGTCTTGCCCAGCGGAAGCTGTGGTCGTGAGATCACCTTCGCTGATGGCAACAGTGTGAATTCAGTTTCAAGCATTCACATGGAAATCACATGTGTTTTGCCCGACGGAAGTCGTGGTCGGCCGATTCAAGTGGCACGCTCCTGCAAAAGTCCAAATGCATCGCAGTTGCAGCGGTCATTGATACAAGAGGCCTCATAACACCATGGCTTGCCACCTATCCCACTGAGGCTCTACGTCTTCATTGTCTTGACCTCAGAGGACTTTGCTTCAGGCATGGGGGGGAAACATGTACAAAGTACTGTTCTCACCAACGCACCTCTGCAAAGCGGGGGGTGTTGATAGGTAATGGCGTACCGACATAATACTGGCTCAAGTAAAACAAGCTGCTGCCCGTGCTGACTTTTAGGTAGATCCCACCTTTCAACAGAACTGTCAAAACAAGACCCCACCCAACGCCCCAACAGAATAACAACTAAAAGGGTTAGCTCTTTCAAATGGAGAACACATTGCTCCCCAGCCCAGCCATGAAACAGTTAAAACAAACCACAATTGACCACCTCGAACAGCACGATATATCACCTGCCCAAAACACCCGTTTTCAAACCGAAAAACGTGGTCAACAGGTTTGAGACTAACACAAACACCATAACAGGCAACACACAACCGCACTTCCCCCAGATAGCCCCCTTTTTTAGCCATTTTTCCCCCACCGCCCTTTCCCCTCAAGGTAGAAGGCGATGGGTAGACCATTTTCATACCAAGCGGTTTTGACTCAATCCTGGGGTTCCCATGTTTGGCAACAACCCCCGGGTCTTTTTGCCACCTTTTGTGAGACAATTGGCGACTTTCTCAAAGAGGACTCCTTGACTAGAAGGGTCGATCATTTTTCCACCAACGGTGGCAAAAAGAATCCCCTGCCCCGAAGCGATCTTGCAGGACCTGGCGGTCCTCGCAATGGGCTGCAGCCTCACTGCGGAGGAGGAGAACCCGAAACCCGAGAAGCCGCGCGGACGGGTCTCACTGATTTTGCTCAGGGCTCGACTTTTTGACCAAGGTAGACTTAAACCCAGGGGGTCTCCTTTTGGAGGGCATGGTTTAAGTCTACCTTGGGGTAGTCAAAAAGTGGAGCCCTGTCTCCCTTGTTTGGACTGCTCGGGGGTATCGCTGGCAAAAAAACAACTGGTTGCTTCCCTTGCAGCTACCTTTTGGGAGCTGACTTTGACAAAAGGTTGGGGCCAGTTGTTTTGATTGCGGCTTGGTGCGGCCGTTTTCTATTTTTGACTTCGGGAAAATGACGAGGTCTGCAGGTTGCTTGAGGGGCCCAGCTCGGCGACCGAGTTGAAGCTTTTTGGCAGACCATTTTAGGGGCGCGGCAAGCAACAAGTTTGGAAGCTTTCTGGCCAATCCAATCATGAGTGAGGGCTTCCATGTGTCAAGCCAGAACTTTCCCAAATCGACCTATTAAAACGCCTATGAGCCTCCGGTGGGGATCTTATTTGGCCTTGACCCCCAAACTCACTGAGCCCATTTCTTTGGACCGTGTCGCCATGGTTCTTTCCAGGCCATTTCGGCCTGGTGCAAGCATCACCTTGCCAATGTTGATTGAGTACTTCTTTGGTGGGTTGATGTTAAAACGGGACACGGCTGTGTCCTTTTTTTGCGGGTGCCATTTTTGGTGTTGCTTCGACCGCCTTTTTTTTTGGGGGGGGGTCCAACCCTCGTAGAAACCGGCTAAGGACATGCAGAACCCCTGGTTGATTTTGATCGGAGGGAACAGCTCGCGTTTTTTTCTTTAACGGCTTCTACTTAGATCGGGGTCAACTTGGATCCTGGTATAGGAGCCATTGCGCAAATCCCCATTTAAAAAGCCAGGATTTTCCTCTGCCTGGAGTCTCCATGACCCTTTAGGAATTAGGTACATGACCCCTTTATTTTGGGCAATGACCCCCATCTTTTTGAGGGTCATGGAGACTCCACCAGGAAAAGTTTTCCTCCAGATTTTCCCTTCTCTTAGAATCCCAACAGCAACCCCTACGACGCCCGCGCGGGGGCATGCTTGAGGAGCGCAGTTTGCTGAGCGCCTACCTGGACCGGGAGGCCTCGGAGGAGGACTTGCGGCGCTTCAAGGCGCGAAAGACGGGCGAGTGGCTCGAAACAACGAGGAGTCGGTTGAAACATATGGCTGTGGTTGTCAAAGCCAGTGGGATCCCATTTTGGCTGGTAGGTGAATTCACCACCCATTTTAGACCCTATTTTAGTGGGGATTGGGATGTTCATTGGGGGTACGCGATTTTGACCCATGGCCATAGGTGGGTCTGCCTTTCTTGCGATTTTTGGGGGTTGCTTTAAAGGGAAACCAATGGGGCAAATAAATGTAGTCCAATGACCTGAGAATGACTCAACGAAAACATGTCGAAACGACCACACCCGATGCATGGGGCCGACTCGATTCAACATCGCTGGGATGCATGGTCCATCAATCCTTGGAAGCAACATGTTCCAAGCGTTGAAACTCATTCGAGGTTGTGCTTTGGTTGAGGCTCCCCTTGTCACCTTTCAAAGGGAAGCCACAAGGAAAATCGCCATGTTTGCGGGTGTTTGATCAAGAATCCAAAGACGGGGTGTCGTATGCTGTTTTTGGGCCGTGACCTTCTGGCTGTCAGCTTTGATGAGGCCTCCTTGCTTTCTGGGGGGGGGGGGAAGACCTGAGACAAGTTTCGGGCATACTCGGTCGCGGGTTCTGAACCCCTCCTTTGTGGTGGTTGTAGGGCTTTGGGAGCCCTGCCCACGGAGGTTCCCTGGATCTGGCGCAATGAGCTGAGGGAGTAAAAATGTCGGTTCCACCTCTTGTGTTTTGAATGAACCTGCGTCCGGCTTCCCTGCAAAGCCACCAGTTTAATGGTTCTGGCCGGGCTCATTCCCTCATTCCCTGCCTATAGGAAACTAGGAAGGGCTAGGAATGACAGGCTGGATGTATGATGAGTCTCCATGACCCCCCCCGCATGTGCTCAATTAGTGATTCCGTATAGAGATCAGCTTCCAAAGGGCCCAACAGAGGTTCATGGGTCCATTACAATCGGGCTTTGATTAACTTACCGCACAATGTGAGCTTACTTGGAGATGGAACGAGCTCACCTATGATAGCGCTTTCCTATTTTAGGAATACCTTTTGCCCTGTTTGGAAATATGAGAATATAGGCAATTACCCTGATCCCTCCAAAATCCGGTGCTTGTCAGGCTTGTCCGGCTTTAGATGTTCTGTTGACTAGGTTTGTTTCAAGCCACCTGCAGAGATGTACTTTCTTGCTTGACCGATTGGGTTCACAGCATATGTTGGGTTATTGAACCGATATAGTCTTCCATTTGCTTAGTCATATGCTCTTTGTTTTCCCCTGTTGAACTGTTTAAAGGGCATCTATGGCTACTGGACACGTTTTCTCATTTTTCCGGACAAAAATGCAAAAGGAGGTGGTTGACAGGGCTCCACTTCCTGAGCAACAGATGTAAGCCCAGGGCTGTCGAATTCTGACACCTCACCAAAGTTTGGACAGTGGTCCTCATGTCTTCTTGGCTTCAATCATTATCCTTTGGGTCATTTTATCATGAGCTTCCTTTTGGTCCGATGCAGGGGTACTCACCAACTCCTTTCAACGAGTCCCAAGCTTACTTTCTTGTTTTTTTTTCGTTCCACCCAACACCTTTCCAGGCGGTGCGGGTGCTGGCAGCGCTGCGGGAGACCTTTTGGGGCTCCTCTCAGCGGATTTGATTTGGGGGAAAGGGGGCTGCCGGGGTTTAGAAGGTTAGCCGAGGGGGTGTGGAGGTATGGAGGTGATCAACAAATACCTCTTGCCCTTTTACCGTTTTTTGGGGGAGGGTTCCCCTACTAAAATAGACTACGGAAAAAAAGGCTACCCTTATTCTAACCTCTCTACTGGAGGACCTAGTTAGTATCATTGTTTCGTTGTCCAGCAATGAGCCATGTGCATGTTGTTTCCAGCTTCAACTTTCAAAGGCTGGCGCTATCAGGCATCTTTGGGTGACCAGCCCTCTGCTTTTCCAGTTCCTCTCCGGGCTTTGGGGCTTTTGCAATAGTTTTGGCACCAGTTCCTCCCTAATTGAATCATCACTTTTTCCGAACATGGGAAGGCTTCCCCCCCAACCCACCCGCTACTTTTTGGATTGTTTGAAGAGATTAAATTACACCCCTATTTGAATCATTTTTTCAAGCATCCAATATGCTGTAAAATACGACATTTAATGTCATCTATATGCACTTCTTCGAACATCATAGGGGAAGCCACCCCCGCCAACCCTCCCGCTGCTTTTCATATTCTATCGCACCCTTTCTTGAATCATTGCACGCTATTTGAATCAGGGGTGGCTGCCGCTACTATTTATTTAGTTGCACCCCCATTCGACTCATCACTTCTGCGAACATCATTGGGAGGGGCTGCTCCCCCCGCCAACCCACCCCGCTACTTTTTCCCCAGATAGCTGAAAGCTATAGGGGTTCTAACTTCTAATAAAGAAGGAAAAGTGATTTGCGAGATTGAGGGCCGGGTGCTAGGGGGCATGCAGTTTGGGGTGCTGGTGGAGGTGCTGCTTTGCGAGCTTGACGGACGGGTGCCAGGGGGCATGCAGCTTGGGGTGCTAGTAGTGGAGGTGCTGTTTTGTGAGAGTGATGGTCGGGTGCTAGGGGGCATGCAGTTTGGGGTGTTGGTGGAGGTGCTGTTTTGCGAGAGTGATGGCAGGGTGCTAGGGGGCATGCAGTTTGGGGTGCTGGTGGAGGTGCTGTTTTGCGAGCTTGACGGCCGGGTGCTAGGGGGCATGCAGTTTGGGGTGTTGGTGGAGGTGCTGTTTTGCGAGAGTGATGGCCGGGTGCTAGGGGGCATGCAGTTTGGGGTGTTGGTGGAGGTGCTGTTTTGCGAGAGTGATGGCCGGGTGCTAGGGGGCATGCTGCTAGTGGAGGTGCTGTTTTGCGAGAGTGATGGCCGGGTGCTAGGGGGCAGGCAGTTTGGGGTGTTGGTGGAGGTGCTGTTTTGCATGGCCGGGTGCTAGGGGGCATGCAGTTTGGGGTGCTAGTGGAGGTGCTGTTCTGCGACAGTGATGGTGGAGGTGCTGATTGACGGCCGGGTGCCAGGTGTGACGTGCTGGTGAAGGTGCTTTGCGAGATTGATGGCCGAGCGCTACGGGGCATGCAGTGGGTGCTGGTGGAGGTGTTGCTTTGCGAGAGTGATGGCCGGGTGCTAGGGGGCATGCAGTTTGGGGTGCTAGTGGAGGTGCTGTTTTGCGAGAGTTGGCCGGGCGCTAAAGGCATTCAGTTTCGGGTGTTGGTGGAGGTGCTGTTTGCGAGATTGACGGCCGGGTGCCAGATGTAGTTCGGGGTGCTGGTGCTGTTTTGCGAGCTTGACGCAGTTTGGGGTGGTGGTGCAACTGCTGTGTTGGGTTGCCGGGGTTCTAACTTCTGAAGAAGTGGGATTGTTTTGCAAGATCGACGGTTGGGAGCTAGGGGGCATGCACTTTGGGGTGCTGGCGCAGGTACAGTTTTGAGGTGCTGTTCGGGCTGGTGACAGTACGTGACGGCAAGGTGCTCGGTGCTCGGGGACCTGTCCAATGCTGGTGCGGGTGCTGCGTTGGGGTGCTGTTGGGGCTGCTGTCTTGAGGTGTTGGTGACGGTGTGGGCGCATATGGACGGCAGGGTGCTAGGGCGGGTGCTGTTTCATGATGCCGTTGAACCGGTTCGGACGTTGTTGCTGCTCTAGTAGTCTAACAGTCGTTTGTCATGGTGCGTGGTTCGTGGCTGGTGTGTCATCATGATGTTGTCACCCGCGTCATGATGCTGCTGTCACTGCGATGCTGCGATGCTGCGTTATGGTTCGTGGGTGTGGTGGCGCCATGATTGCTGCCAACATCAGGATGATGCTGAATTTCACTACGCTGTCGCGAGAAGATTCGTGGCTGTGGTATCATCATGATGCTGCCTTTTCAATTTTACCATTACCATGATGCTGTTCGCATCACCATGATCGTGATGCTGTCCGCATCATCATGATGCTGTCGAACTCATCAGGACGTCGTCTCTGCCTTTTTTCTGCTAGATATGTGGCGCGGAATCGTTCGTTGCTGGTGCATCAGCATGATGCTGAGTGGCTGTGGTATCATCATGATGCTTTCAACATCATCATGATGCTGTCAACATCATCATGATGCTGTCAACATCATCATGATGCCTCGGGAACCATTATGATGCTGCATAATGGTTCGTAGCCGTGATGTGCTATCTGGGGTCTACGCTGGTGTAATTTTTTCTTTGCAGGGATTGAACTGCCCTCCTGTTTGAATCATCATTTTTCCGACCCCATCAACCGGCCAGCTACTTTTTAGAACTTGTCACCCACAATTTGTTGGTGATGCTGGGGATGTTGGTCGTGCGGGGGATGTTGAAAACGATGCTGGAGATGTTGACGGGCTAGTGGATGTAAAATACGACATTTCGTTGGCCCGGACGAAAAACGAACAACAAATGAACAAAACAAACGGGGGGAGGGGGGAAAAAACCAAATAAATCCGCACCCAAAGGGACATGGGACCCTGCAAATGTCCAGCCGGATTTTCCCCAAAGGTCTTTCTATTTTTGAGGCATGCTGAGCGTTAAAAGCTTCACAGCTCCATCATTTTCCTTCGACTATGTATTCCCCTCCAAAAGTGATACATCCCGACTGGAAGGTGACACCACCCGAACTCAAGCAGGGATCTACTTAGATCCGGGTTCCCATTACCCGGTTGAAACGAAAGGCCTAATGTTCCCTTGCTACTTTCTCAGTTGCCCAAAGCGAAGTTACCTGACCTTTTAGTTGTCCTGTTTTGGCCCATATTTAGTCAAGGTGATCGCCTTTCATTTCTAGGTCCTTTGGGCAGCTGCGACTTCAACTCCTCTCTTGAACCCCCAAAGACCATCCTCAAAGGGTACCAACAGCCCTCTGAAGGGGTGGTCGGTCAGGGTTAAGCTCCGCGTGGTCAAACATGTTCCGGCAAACTAAACATGTCTTTCTGTGGGCTTCGTGCAAAAATGGGCGCCTGGTGATCAACATGTTTCCGCCTTTGGTGATTTACACCAATCTTCAGGGACCCTCTTGGACCGGGGGGGTTGGGATTTCGTCTCCATAGGCGGCGTTTGAGGCGTCACGGCGGAGCTGAGCCGCAGCAGTGCGCTCAGCGACGCGGAGGCGCTGAGCTACGCGGATGCGCCCGGGGGCTTGGAGCTCGCGGAGGGGTGAGGGGGATCGAATGTGGCAACCACAGATTGATTGATGTTCGTGTTTTTGTTCTTCTTCTTTTAAATAAATTTGTTGGGGGGGGGGGGAGGGCATTTTTCCTAGCATAAACGAAGGCGGAAGCTCGAAACTGGGACAAGCCTGTTGTTCATGGCTTCATGGCTTATGCCATGGTGTCTTTTTCGGGGTCAACATGTAAGTCATTGCGTCTTGGAACCCACTCCCGGCCGTCGGGCCTCCTGGGTTCTTGGAGGGCTCCAGGTTACGTGGAGGATCCGGGGCTGTTGGGGATGTGTCTTTTTGTCGTTCTCTAAATGAGGGCAGGTGGTTTCCTTGACAAACCGGTGTTATGTTGAAAACTCGCACGGGAAAGTCGGTAGAACCCACAAACCAGGGTTTGGGGTTGGTGTGGGAAGGGGTTGTCCTTGGGCAGACCACTGGGGAAGGCATTAGTACGTAATACAAAGTTACATTTGGGTGAAAGTAGATTGCTCAATTTCCTGCATTTTGGTTTCATCATCCTTTTTGCTTGCCGACCGAACAATGGAATTGTGAGGACATGGTGAAGCCTTCTCAAAAGAAGGCACCGGTGCGATTGCTCTAGTGCAATAATGCGCTTTTTCAGGCGGGTCGGGACTCTCAGTGAGGTTCCATGGTGAATGGGAGGGTCCACCTTGGTTCGGAGACGCTGAAGACAGGCTCGATCGGCATGGTTTGGGGCATCTCAGGGAGACTTTTCAGAGGGTTCCAGACGGCTCCGGAGCTGTTGGGGATGGCACCTTTTGTTTGAGGGACCCCCTCGTTTTTGGGGGTGGGACAATAGGCAACTCCGAACCGAGGAACTTTGCCAAGTTCTGCGAGCTCAGGGAGGAACCGATGGGAGTCGGGGATGACAAGACGGACGTCCATGTTCCAGCCTACCGCCTACCCATACCAAAAAACAGCCTTGATCCCTTATGGAGTTTGTGCTTTAGCTTGGGCCCTAAATGTAAGGCTAAGGCTAAAGTTGTTGGGGAACGGGCGGTTCTTGGCAAGAACGATGGTTGAAACGCATTTCCAACTCATCAAGGGGTCCCCTTTTTGCCCTTAATCCCCTGCACATGTTCAAGACCTTCTTTTTGACATCACTTTCCTGGGGCACTGTGGGAAGCAACTTGTTCACAAGTTCCTGCCCTTTGATCAATACGGCATTTCGGTTCTCTTCATGAGCCACAATTAAGATTCGGGTCGATTAGGGATAGCAAGGAACAATCAAATGGGTGTAGACGCCTTTTAAATTCTGTGTGATTAGCCATGTCTTAAATCATCACCAGGGATGTCGCGATAGTGACTGACCGGTGGTGTTTGGCTCAAGTTTGGATCCGGCGCGCCTCGGATGAGCGTCGCCGGGCCCTCACGTCGACCGCCTTCGTGTCGGAGGAGAAAGAGACTTCGGCCCGGGGTAGGTTGGTGGGGATCGCCCGTGCGGTTCATCGTCGACCAAGGTTGCGGGTATCCTTTTCTATTTCGGTTTGTTTCCTTTTGGTTGTTGTTCTCTGGTGTGTGGGAAACCCTGATCTTTGGGACCGGGGATTGGTTTGCTTTTGGGGAACCTTTTCTTTTGTGGCTTGTTTACCCCAACTAACCCATTGCCTGGGCACAGGCTCGTGCCCGAATCACAGGTTATCAGCCGTAGGACTTTCCTACGCGCTTGAGACCATCAACTACAAGTTCAATGACGTCGACCCCACGATCCCGAAGGAGCGTCGTGGATGAGGAGGCCATCCTAGGTGGCCTCCGCTCAGGTGAGGACCTACCGGACTTCGACTACGAGGACTTCGAAGCAGGTTCGACAGGTCAGGACCGCAGGGGTGAAGATCCCGATACCCCATCCCAAAAAATGAATAGCCTAGTGGGGGGTACCCTGCTTGCAAGTATTCAATATTTGGTGTGGCAGGAGCAGACAAGTGATCAGACAAGTGTGGTTTCTTGTTTGGCGTGTCCCTGAGCATTGCTCGCCATATTGCTCGCCACAGGCTCACTTTCTTTCAGCATGGGTTTGTGTTGAGTTGAGCATGGCTGTGTTGGATCCCTCGTTTCGCGCGGCCTTTTTGGCTGTGTGGCCCACACACCGTGAATCCCAATTGGCAGAGTCGGCAGATAGTCGGCAGCCATGCCACGGGCAGTGGGTATGGCCCTGGGCATGGCCCTGGGCATGGCCCTGGGCTGCTAGACATATAACGGCTGTGAGGATGCTACTCGGCGATGAAGGGCTAGAGCATGGGCTGGAACATTGCCAGAGTTAGCGTAAGCTGCGCATGCTTGCCTTGACTGTGTTTTCCGAGAGGCTGAGATATATGGGATTTCTCGTTGACTTATTTTCAGGGCACGCCACGTAGCTCTTCAGTGTTTTCAATCGGTTTGAAGTGTTGCCCAGCAAGAAGTGTCAGACCTTCCAGATATCTTCAGCTCAGACTTCGCAACGATAGCCTCAATCCCTCAGAGACATCCAGAGACCAGGTTTGTGATCGGGTGTGTGGGGAGAATTGCCTACGATATTGCCCACGATGGGTTGCTTGGCTGGGCTGCGTTCACGGCTGCCTGCCGCGCCTTGTTTGAGAAACGTGACTGGGGGCTCCTTCCTTTCGGAACTTGTAGCAGCTTTCAGCTTCGGTCCTTCTTCCGCGCCCAAACGCAGTTCAAACTGTTTGTTTTTTAGGCTCATGACGGCCCATGTGACGGCCCCCTCCCTCCCTGCCTCTTCCCCTCCCCCTCCCCTCCCCCCCGCCAGGCAATTTTTGTTAAGGGCAAAGAGAAGGGAAGCAGCCACTTGCGCTTTGAAGGGCAAAGCTCAGTGAGCCGCTTCGTGTTCTCAAGCGACTTGCAGGGGCAATGGGATGAAATGGGCGCTGTATGCCTTGCAACAAAAGCTGGTCCCCCTCCCGTCGAAGCCTGGCCAAGCTCAATCTGGTGGAAGACTAGTTGGGGGGGGTAGGGCATGGGGTAGGGCGGACCATCAATTCACAAAAGCTGGTCGCAAGACGGTTCCGCAAATGGAAGCTGTTTAGGGGTCGGGAGGAGTAGGCAGGAATCTCTGTGTCGGTTTAGCGTTGGCTCCACCTTGGATGAAGTAGAAGAAGTAGCAGCGGATGATTTTGCAACAAATCCTTCTTCCCTTTGTGCAAGATGCTTGAGAACAGGCAGGAGGGAACACTGCTTGAGCATCTTTTACAGCCGCTTTTGCTCAGAAGTGGGGTTGGCGCTGCCAGTTATGAGCCACAGGGAGAGACATGCATGCGCTCAATCATGCGCTCATCCCAGGAAGTGAACAATAAGTTCCAAGTTCCACGCATAGATCCATTAGCACCGTTTCCGCAGCAGCAATGGGATCAGCGCTGGAGGAGTTCATGCGTGGCTTGCTTTTGACAGCAGCCCGTGAGCATCCGCAAAACCTCCAATCTCTTGAGTGCATCAAGGTTGGCAGCCTTTGTTCTGGGTTTGACATGCTCCAGTACGTCATAGATCACACCTTGAGGATTTGGCCAGAGGCCATTCAGTCTAGGCTGCGCGTGCGGTACTTTTTGTGCCGAGCAGGATGTTCGCAAGCGTTCCGTCCTCGTGGACCGCGCCATGTCGCGTGACACTCCCAGCCTTGCTGTAGAACATATTTTCGGGAATATTGCAACATTGCAGAATCCATCCTACGATTTTCTGCACAAGAGATACACAAGGGTATTCACTCCAGACCTGGTCATCATGGGGTTTGCATGCAAAGATTTGTCGCCTTTGAACAACCACAAGAAGCCATTCTCCTGCGAAGGGGTGTCTGGCAGAACATTTCACGCAGGCGCAGACCTTATTAGGGTGTGGCGTCCGCGTTTCGTCATCATGGAGAATGTTTGCGGGCTGCTTCATGGCACGCACCGCGCTCTGGAGACAGTGTGCCGCGGCTGCCTATGGGTAGACATGTTCATTTGTGCTTAGCAGGTTGTCCATGCAGGGCAAAACCTAGCTTCTCTTATGACCCTTGAAATGTCACCGCCACCCGCCGTCAAGGTTGACAAGGTCCGGAAAAATATGGTGGGATTTGTTTGGATCATCTCTGGGGGCTTTTGGCTCTCCGTTTGGGGATACCCCCAGGGCACAGCGGGGTTTCATATGTTTCTTGGGCCCCGTTCATTGCCAAAAGCAATTGAAACGCAAATGTGCATTTTTGAACTTTGGCCTGGGAAGAGGGCTTACTAACCGAAGGGGTCGGACATTTAAGCGGGGGGAAAGCTGAGTGAGATACTTGGAAGTTTGGGGTGGCGTCTTTCCATTGAGCAAAGATGCAGGGATGACCCATGCTAGTATTGTCTTAGTGGTGGGGAATAGTTGTGCAGTATTGCTGTAATTGGCTGGCAGTCGGCTGGAACAAAGGGGCATTTTTAATCATTGGTTTTCTCAATCGGGGCCCAACAAAAAAGGGAGATGCGTTGCACCGTCTGGCGAGGTTGTTGTTGGTTGAGGGGTAGTTCCAGCACTGCATGGGCTGGCGAGCTGCGTGGAAATCAGGACAGCAATGCCTTGCCCTCCGCCAGTTCTTGAACGATTTGCCAGCATGGGCGGGTCAGAGGGATAGTCAGAGGGCAGAGCCCAGTCGTCGAGAACGCCCACATCGCAAAAAGTGGCTATTGCGTACTGTGAGGTGGCAGAAGGAGCACAATTTGGAAGGCGCAGTCCTGAAATCTGTTGAGGCGGAGCTTGCTGCTTGCCCAGATTTCCAAACAACGTCTTGGGAGCGGCGGCTACTGAGTGCTGTGAGCGCAGATCTGCTTCAAAGTAGGCGCGTTGCCTGGCTGAGTGACTAGGTGATCCAGCTGGATCAAAACATAGACAGGGTCCAGCCAAAGTTTCAGAAGACTCCTTGCACTTGCCCTGGGAGCAAATTTTGGTTCGATGGGCGCCTCATGACTCCGCTGCAGTTGGCAGCGCTGCAGGGGTTCGAGCTTGGGGCTCTCAAAGGCCTCCGCGGGCGTTTTGTA